CCCCCCAAACACACACCCACACCCTGGGCTGCCACCTTTAACCCCTTTATGAAAGGAAAAGCAGAATAAATGCTCCTGGAGACTGGGCACCTAGACTGACTCTTTTCATGCCTCCACAAGATTTGAGTCGTGTTTTATGGCATTTATCCATTCTACCCAAAACCAACGGTTGCATATGTGGGGAAACCATGACACACTATGGCAATAAGACTGGACAAGCAGCAATATTTGCATGAAGTAGAGATTTACTGCTATGATAACACTGGGCCCCAAATCCAGGTCACACACAAGTGGGAAACACATCAGGAAATAGTTCTTTGAAAACAGAGACCAGAGAGAGAGAGAAAGAACCTGGCTTCAGGCAAACATAAAACCCTAAAACAAAGGCCGGTGACTGAATGCACGGAAGCAATGCCATGTTTTCTGGTGCAGGTGAATTCTCCCAAGAGTTGCTCAAAGGAAATCTTCTCTGCCATCAGAACTCTAGCTCCATAATTGAGAACAATGCACTTGTAAGTTTATTTGGAAAACAGAAAGCTCAGCATTGCTCAAAACCAAGGCAATACTTCCAGGCCAGCAAAACTCATCTTACATCATGCCTGTCCATTCAACTAACTATCTTTGCTGCTTTGAAACAAGAAAACTAATAGCAGCTGAAAAACAACTCAGCATCTGTATGAATAACCCGACAGCTCTTTATGGAGTGGTGGAGGGAGAATGAAGGAAGGATTTTTGACCAAAACTGAAATGATGACCCATTACAGGGATGCTGTTTTTAAAAATAATTTCTTTTCAAGGAGAATTGAAGTTAATGGAATATTTATATTATCCACCACCAGCCCTGACTCTCTCAATGTGAGCAAGAAGTGAGGGAGAAGGGGACAGTTCGTGAAGCTCAGCAGTTAGTGGGTGAGACACTGGGTACACGTTTCTTTTGATGATGCATGAAATTTTTCACATGTTGGTGCTCATTCTGGATTGGCTGTTAGCTGGAGTGAGCTCCCCTTGGCTACCTTCCCTCGGAGGAGACTGCAACAAGACCAAATTACATCCTAGTTAGTGATGTGCAAATATTCTGTGGCCTGAGAGACAAAATGAAGCACAGGTGAAGCACAGCAGGATGGCAGCAGCAGGAGAGCAATACCCCCAGGTTTATAAATAACAATGGCTTTGTGTTTACAACTTCTACCGCTCAGGAAACCTTTTCCTAACCAGTTCAAACCAGAACTTCTTAAGCCACTCTTTTTTATTATGTACAAGGTGCTGTTGGCTCCAGAGATTGAATACTATCTGGCATTTAGTAATCACAGGGATTAATATAGTACAGAAATTAACACATTCTGTGCAGGCAGCCTATCCTCCCTAAAGGCATCCTCTCCAAACTGCAAAACAGAAGGAACTCTCCTAACAATTAATGCATTTTTTAATTCCTCAGCTGAAAAAATTACTTCAAACAGTCTTTATTGATAAGGTAAAAGATGTGACTATCAAAGATTGGATCTAAGGAATTATTCAGAATTAACCCAACCATATAAACTTCAAAGGATATTCTGACTTGTACAAGCGGGTTAATGTATTGATGTATTGGCTACAAACACCTGTTCCTTATATATTTAGTATTTACTATCGTAAGAATTTGTCCAGTTGTGAACACAATAGATTCATTCCCATCCAGAATGTCCAATTCATCAACTTTTACAGTTTTAGTTAAAAAAAACCCCCAAACTAAAACCTTACCACTACCTTTATAGTCCCTGTTTAACACGTCCATACCTTGACATGGATCTGGTTGCGCAGGACTGCGGCTCGCAGGATCATCGCTTTGGCACGGCGCTGAAACTCTTTGCCCATTAGTAAAGACTTCTCAAAAGTTGTGCTGCGCTGATCTACATCTCGAGCATAAAGAATCTGGAACCAATACAGAGAACTGTACACAAGAGCTGGAGCCAGGTTCCACAGCAGGAAGCCTTCTTTGCTCACCCCTACTGTACACAGCAGGCCCAACAGATGAACACAGCTTTCAAGTGTCTCAGGAATGGCCAGTTTCTAATCTTAGTAAACCTGTTCAGTCTACAATCCATGGCTGAAATGCACTCACCTTACTGTGAGAGTCTATCCTGGCATTGATCAGTCCCTCCAGGATAAGCTGAGTGAGTTCATCTTCCAGAGCAGCCACTGTGGTGTTAAAAGCAGTGGCCATCTTGCGCATGTCCGCTGACACGTAGGGGCTGAAGTACTATAAGAAGAAAAGATTCAGCTGCCAAAGGGCACTCTCCAACCTCTGAGAAACTAGGAGAAAAGCAATTGCAAAGAGATGGCCAATCTCCCTGTTCATCTACCTCTGGGATAACAGGAACCATTACCTGGATAAGGGCACGATTTCGTATCTGGGTATAGAGTGTCCTGACATGAGGTGCAAGGTACATATCTAGCAGCAGGTTGTCCTGTGCAGAACAATAAACCACATCAGAAGCTGACAAGCAATCTGGAAAAAGATATTATTCCTGTGTTCTGAAACATTCATGTGTATATACTTAAACCTTAAGAATACTGCACCACAGCAAGACAATACAATAAACCAATAATGAATAAAAGAATTAGCGATATTGGAAAACATTTATAATTTCTCTCTACCAATAAAGTACTCACAATTTCCATGCACCACATCAGAAGTCAGAAGACACAGAAGAGCTGAACACTTTGTATCTACTTTTGACAATCGCTGCTTCTCGCAAAAGGCTAAACAAAGGGAACATTTAGGGTCTGCTCTGCACTGCTCTCCTGTAACTCACCTTCATTTCATCTAGCATCTTCAGGCATGAAGCATATTTAGATTCATAAAATTTGAAGATGATGTCACGAACCTGTGGCTCCAGCTCCAAAAACAATTTGAAGGAGCTACAGACAGAGACGGGAGTGATCAGACATAGGAACCCACCATTTCAACACTCCATAACCCCATAACTTAAAGTCACAAGGTTAAAAGCTCTCACTGTCATTTGAAGATTCTAAAAATTTAATCTCTAACAAACAAACCAGACACCCCATTTTCAGCAGGGCTGGGAGACTGGAACACCGAGAGATAGAGCACAGCATCAGAGCTGTGAGGAAAGAAGACAGAAGACTTTTGACAAACCAAGTAGTATAAGTATTTGTTCATACAAAACAAAATAATGAATGCCAATATGACAAAATCAGGATACATCACCAGAAAACACAGGCCAGATCTGCACTTGCACTGCAGTCTGTGCTGGCCAGCTTTGCATCCCCTTTTAAAGCACAGTCTTCATTAAGTACAGCATGCCATAGGCAGGTCAAGCATGCCACTATCTCAGAGAAACAACCCCCTGTGAGTGTGGTAAATCTTAGGAATGCACACTCTTTCTTAGCACACGTTCAATTCTCCATCACAGATTTTTGAACCTCGGCATCTCACCCTAGGTATCAGCCCATAAAAAAAAGGTAAAAACCTCTTTCCACAGCAATTTAAAATTACTGCTTCTGAACACCCAGCTGATGTACACCCAGGAATTCGGTATCATTGCAATTCAATTTATGACACACAAATATCCACTTTTTTCCAAAGACTGTAATTCTATTAACCTTCTATGTCATCGTTAGATTACTCCAAGGTGCAGTAATAATTACTAAATTGTTTTAACGATTAACATACACCAGGACAAGGGGCAATGTGAAGGCAAATTATCTTGATAGCTACCTTTGACAGAGGGCTGTGTCCCTTGTTTTAATATCTGATATGGACAACCAATAGAGACACAATGGGCTATGCAAGATGCTGGATCTAACCTCGGTTGGAAACTTACACTAAGAAAATTTCAGCTGTGATTAACTACTGTGTTTTAGACAGTGAAACACCACTTAACACTAAAGTCAATCTAAGGCTTAGTGATTTTTCTCTCCTGTATGAGAAAGCTATTATTCTGCCAGAACCCACTCTCCACCGAAGTCCCGTGTTCCAAAAGGTGTCCAGTACTTTCAAACACCACTCAAAGCATCACTCACCTACTGGAGATAACATTTCGTTGCAGTTCCTGACGGTCAAACGTAGCAAGGGCACAGAGCCCACCATACACAGCCACATTGCTGGGAGATAACAGCTACAGAGACAGGAACAGAGAAAGAGCTGTCACTGACTACCAAAATGGCATAAGGTTGGCATTAACTCTTCTACCCCAGGCCTTTCTTTCATACAGTGACAAGATTAGTCCTTGTCAAATGCAGCGCCACTCAGCTTGCTCTCACCCAGTGTGTCGGGCCACAGGGCCTGAGCAGTAACACAGCTAAGAGAGCAGACACCAATTCCAAGAGTTTTTTGATTGAGCAACACAAAAGTATAAATTTCACATGTAACTTCCATGTGATCTAGAGTAGAACATTTAGAGAAGCCAAGAACAGAGATGTTTTGAAAACAACATAAAACAGCAACAAAATTTAAAAAACCAAACCAAATTAAAAAACCCACAAAAACACACACACATACCAAAACACATACACACACACACAAACCTTCACCCAAAAAAATCCACATCAAGAAAACAAACAAGCAAAAAAAAAAAACCCCAATAAAAAGAACCCATCAACAGAGTTCACAGCACCATCAAACTATACAGGAATGCTGCAAGAACAACTACAGTATCTGAATTCTAAAACCCAATACTTAGAACTACATCCCCTCCAAAACATGCACACAGCTACCTCTTGGTTCTCACCTCAGGAAAATCACAGTGATCAAAGGATGCCAACAAGAAGCACTTTGCTGCCTGTTTGTACTTCCGGGCAGCTAGCTCGGCCAAGCCTAGGAACCGGAAAAGTTAGTTCTTTTTTATATGATAGCATAAAAATCATGAAAAACTGAAAAAGGGAGGAGGAGAGGCCTCCACATGGTTGCTAGTGTCTTCACTGCTGAAGTAAAACAAGATCCTCAGAGTCTATCAAGCATCCTTTGAGCTACATTAATTCACAAAGGTATCCTTGATGAAGAAACTCAGGAACAAGAAAGAGATGGCAAAAACCAGCCAGCAATTCTATCTCACCAACTTCAATAAATAGAGCAGGCCTGGTGCAGAAATACAAAGTCTGTCAAATACAAGAGAAAAAATAAACCAAGCACACACTGTTGCCCAAGAGCCCTATGGACAGCTAACAGGTAGAAAGACAGGCAAATCATAGAGAAAGCTGAAGGATTCACTCACCTGCAGCACATTTCAGTTTGGTGAGAATTGCTTGTGTCTGGCTATCTCTTTCTCCTCTTTGCTAAAGCATAAAACAAAGCAGTACTGAGCAAGCAGTATGAAAGCTATTTTGCTTACAACTGTCCCCAAGATATTTCATCCTGATAATTGATTTGTAAATCTCAATGGCAAGATAATTTAATCTTATTTATCTTGGGAAATATGGCAAAACTAACAATGGCAAGTATCCGTTTTTACCAGGAGTCAGATTTTGTACACATATATCATAGGAGGAATCATAAAGGTTAAAAGGAAGAAATCACTTCACAAATTTTGGAAACAGAAAACAAAGGGAAAACTCATGCAAGTTAAAGAGCAAGAGCTTACTTCTGCAATTTCTGGTGTAGATTCAGCCTTGCTTACATAGCTCAGAACATGAGACCAGTTCTGGAGGTATACACTGACCTGCAGAGAGCCAAAAACAATGTGGGCATGGAAAAAAGGCATTCCTTAGATAAACCGCATCATCATTGACACAAGAGCAAAGTATACAGGGGGAACTTTGCAGCAGGTATCACAAAGACACCAGGTATCATTTCCTGCAAATCTTCCTACCTTGATAACATTGAGACACATGTTGATCACATGTTTAGCACTGGTGCAGTAGTCACGGGCTCGTGAGTAACACTTGAGAGCATTGCTGAGGTCTCCACAGTCCAGGTAATGATCACCTAAGTCATCATGGCCTCTCCTGGCGGACAGGAATTAAAACATCAATGAACTGGATGCTCAGAAAGGGACAAAGTCAGTTTGTTCTAAACAAGTAACTCAACACACTGACCTAAGGCACTGAATGCAGTTGATATCCCGTGTTAAGTGAACGGAGGAGCAAAATGCTCTTCCTTGCTCCAGCAGAGCCTTCTGCATCTCACCTGATACTCTCCTTGATGGAGTTTCCTTTGTAATTTTTCAGATCTGTATCAAGTTTCTCCAGCTTAAGAAGAGCTTTTTTGCGTGTAGCTTCAACCCATGCTGTGTCAAGAGGAGGGGGTTCAATTCCACTATCAGGGACAGCATCAGGTGTATTTTGCAGTTCTCTGAAAGGAAAGTATTTGAATGGGGCTGTTAGACTGCAGACATTTCAAAACAGAGATCTGCTAAGTGCCTGGCACTGTTACCTTAACAAACACTACAGCATTCACAAAACAGACCAAAGAGAAAATAAGGGTACTGAAAAAAAAAAAAAAACCCAAAAAAACATATAGCTAAAATCTCCAGTACAAGCAGTAACATAAACATCACAGATGTCTGCAAATACTTCACAAAATTATCCTAATGATTTTAGGATGAACATACTGGCACACACATGGTTAACAACTCCTGGTACAAAACAGACAAGAAATCATCAAATAAACATAGCAAAAATAATGCAAACATGGGAAGTGAGATATCATAGGCTATCCCTGACAGCAAACCTGTTGTGGCTGGGAGAGGCGGGGGAAGAAAGTAAAAAGCAAACCAAAACAAGGTAAAGTTAGATTAAGCTTTAACTTATGAAAACAAAAGCATCAAGAAGGCATCTCCATTATCTACCTACAGAAAAACAAGTATATTCATTAATATTTGAGGCAGTTGCAAGGACTTAATTCACCTCAATATCTACCTACAGCTTTTTAAAGCAGACAGATTTCAGAACAAGATAACATCTTCTGTGCTTTATCTTTTAAAAAAGCATGAACACCCATTTAACCGCTATTAAATTCTAAGGGCAAAGACAATTTGCATAAGATACATGCTGGTATTATATGCAAAGTCCTCCACTGTGGCACATCAGTCTTAACTCGGCCAGGAAAGGTCCCTAGGTTCCCATGACCTCTTAGTACCTTGTGGCCTCAGACAGCTTTCTGTGGATTTCTTCATACACGTCAACATTGAAAGTTCTCTGGACAAATGACAGAGCCATCTTGAGAGCTTCCACCCGCAGCTGTGGGCAGTGATCAGCAATGAACTGCAGCCGCTCGATTCGCATCAGCCCACTGTAGCTGGATGCATACTGCTCCAAATCCTGCCAAGAAAACCTGGCCTCAGAAGGTGAAAATGGACACACTAAATCAGGCTACTGCACTGGTTTTCCTGCAGACCTGACCCCCTCAAGGAGGGCAATAAGACTCAGCAAAATAAAAAATCAGTAAGACTAGTCCCTAATCCATATCTCCTTTCTTCAAACACTAGCAATTTTCTCAGAAATATGCAGTACATTACAATTTACCCTTTTAAAATTTCAGTTGTGATGTTTTAAGTTTTTTCAGAAGGGATTTTTTCAAAATTCTGAAAGGAAGAGACCATACTCAAGAAATGTGCCCACAACCCTCAGCAGCACATACCAGTGTGGGGTTCTCCACCACATAATTGATATCAGGTGAATTTTGCTGATCTTCTTGTGGATCTACGTCAATCTGCATGGGTTCCACTGCACCCTAAAATGGCAAAACAAGGTCAAAAGTAGCTTATTACATTTAAGCAGGAAACAACCATCTGATTCAATCTTGCTTAAATACATGCTAAATTTTAAAAATGAAAATGCACTCCTCAGTCTTTTGATAAGCTTAGGATTTTTCTCTAGCAACACGATTAGTCAGCATGACAGTCTAATGCAAACATCAGCATAACTCAGCATTCACACAAAGCACTTTATTTGGTCTGGTAAATTATCAAGCAAAAAAGTGAAGAGTCAATAAATCTGATTCTACAAAGTATCTGAGGTATGCATTCCAATTCTCTTCCTTGAGCAAGTGTTGCTGTTAACAGCTCAAGAAGTTTCAAAAGGAGAAACATACCAAAAAACTCATCACAATCTTTCAAAATTGCTTTAATGTTTAAAATTAGTATTTTTGGGCAAAAAAAGGAAAAAACTGTTACAATTTTAAAAACATAAAAATACCATAAAGAACAGAATGTGGAATGGCAATTTCAGAATTTCCAACAAACAGCAAGGAACAATTTGTCTGCACTGCAGAGATCTGCCGTCAATTGAACTATCCTACTGTAAGTTTAAGTCCCACTGCTTAGATAGAGCCTCTTTTGCAGAAACAACAGAATTTTATTCTCCCAGTATATCCTGCACTGCTTAAAGGATGTACTAAGATCTAAGGACTCACACCAGTGCAGTGACTTCAGCACAGCTGTCACAGCCTCTCCATGCATGCCAAGTAAGACTGGTCTGCTATCCCATCCCACAAATTAAACTGGTCTGCTAGCACAAAATTCTTTGCCTCCTCCTAGTCGAATTATGCTGAACATTCCTCCTAGAAATTACCTATTTAAATTTAAGAAAATTTAGCTGAATGCCTACTCACAGAATGCTGATTTTGCACACATATTATATAAACAACACTTGATTTGGTGTAAATTGCACAAGTGGATTTCACAAAAGACATAAATGCCAACCACCTTGCCCCCACCAATATCAAATTATTTCCGTATTTTTCTTGATTTTACTGTCTCTTAAGAAATCAAGGATGTGGGGGGGGGGGAGTTGACCGGATTGATGGTTTGTTTGGTTGGGGTTTTCTCTGAGAAGGAACAGGGCAGGCCCAGATTTCCTATCTCTAAAAGTTCACAAAGAATCACGGAATAAACTAGGTTGGAAAAGACGTTTGAGATCATCGAGTCCAACCTGTAACCTAACATTACCTTATCAGCTAAACCTACACTCACCCACAGTCTGGGGATCTTATTCTTTCACAAACTGGTACATACATATCTCAACACTGATGTGAACTCTCCCAAAATCTGAAGTGAAATGAAGCATATATAAGTTAATTTCCTCGTTTAATAACCCTTCCATGAAGAAAAGGGAAGCAGGATGCAGAGGTAAGTTTGACTGCCAAGATGACCCCTCAGAAAAACTGCACACAATCAGGTAATTTACCATATGCTAAGACCACCATTTTTTTCCATTTTATCAACCTTATATCTTCTCTTATATCACAAACACTAAGTGCCAAGGTTAGTTGGTTCAGGCTGTGTTTGACTACCATAGTAAAAACTCAATTACAGACTGCTTAGAAAACATGACAAAGCTAACTGCAATTCCAGGTGGCGAAGCAGAACAATTTGTGTCTTGCTACACTGGGAGGCTGCACTTTGCATTTCTCTCTTAACTCCCAGCCAAAGAAACACACAAGTGGGCTGGAAGTACCAATAAGACATGCAAACTCAAACATTTTCGAGCTCTTTATTTTGGAAGGAAGATGCAAAACTACTCACAAAGSAAATAACATAACCACCACTCGCCAAGATTTCCTAAGCCCCAACGGATACCCTGTTGAGGGTACCTCATCAGATCTCGCACAAGCAGATAAACTGGTGACTGTACTCAGSAGAAAGAGGTGTGACCTATCGCTGAGGCGGGTGCAGTACAGATCTGTCGCTGATGAAGTGACAGTGAGCTGAGTGCGTGCCCTGACACAAAACTTGCTACTACTAAAACTAGCAAAGGATAGCCTTCGCAGGTACCTAGTGCTACGGACCCACTCCCCTGCACTGGAGACTCCCAGTTCCTCTTCATCAGCCATCTGACCGTCCCTCCGCGATTGCTGCAGCCCTGCCTACAGCCGTACAGCGCGGCAAGAGAGCCCGGGCACACCGCCGCGGTGCCGAGTGCCACGGGTGCCGGAGGATGCTCGCTGAGCGTCGCTGCTCGCCAACGGCGGCGGAAGCGATAGAGACAGACCCGAGGACGGGCGAGCGAGGGCCCAGGGCCAGCCGAGAGCCGCTCCCTTCCCGGGAAGCCCAAGGAAAAGGCCGCACCGCGTCCCCGGAGGCCGCGGTCGAGCCGCGGTGCCAGACCCCGCGTGGGAGGGCTGCGGAGCGCGGCGGAGCGCGGCCAGAGCCGGGGGCCCGGGCGGACGGGACGCAGCCACCTCGTACCTGCAAGTTAAAGACCTGGACGGGCAGCGGCATCCTCCCCTCACAGCGCCGCTTCCGGCCGCCCGCCCCTGCGSCTCCGCTTCCGCTTCCTCTTCCGGGCTGCGCGTGGCGCTGCTCCGCGCCCCACAGGTGAGGCCCTTAAAGGGGCCGCGGCCCCCTCGGCCCCGCCCGGCCCCGCGGAGATCCCCGGGCGCTCCCTCCGCGGGGCCGCCGCCACCTCCCGCCGCCACCTCCCGCCGCCACCTCCCGCCGCGCGGGGCCATGAGGCGGCCGCGTCCTGAGGCGGGGGCCCGCGGGGCTGCAGCATGAACGGCCCTTGCCTGGGGCTGCGCAGGGCCGGGCTCCTGCTGTCCCTGGGCGTCGCCGCCCTGCTGCTGCTGCTGCTGCCGCGGGGGCAGCGCCCCGCCGTGCCCCGCCCGCCGCCCGCCGCCGGGCCCAGCGCCGGCCCCCGGGGCGGGGAGCGGCAGCCGCGGCCGAGGCCTCACGGGCAGCCCGCAGCCGGCGCGGAGGAGCCGCCTCGGAGCTGCCGGCGGCTCGGCCAGGGAGAGCCTGGAGCTGAAGGACATTTTTATTGCGGTGAAGACCACGAGGAAGTATCATAAGAGCCGGCTGGACTTGCTCCTCCAAACCTGGATCTCCCAGGCGAGGGGACAGGTGAGGCTTCGCCAGCGGGCAGGGACAGGCAGCCGGGAGCCTCGGCCCCGCGTTCTCCAGGGCAGCCGCCGCATCCTCTCACTGAGGTTTTTCTTACTTGTGTTAAAAGCGGCTTTCCTTGTAAGACTGTGGAAGGTCGTCTTATATAAACGGTTCGTCTGAACATGCTTCCAAAAGAGTTCGTTGCTGATTAAGCCAGTTACCTGCAATATGAGATTGGTGGTCCAAGCAGACCTAGTCTGCTGATATTTGTATGACTCTGGAAAGTTCTACATGGTTATGAAAGATTCCTAGTGATCATGCATGTAAGCCGGTATTTTGGACTATTAAGTAGTTCAGCCACGTAGGTTTCTCTGTAGAACATAAAATTTGTTCCCTGGTTGTGGAATTTCAGTCCGTTGAAGTATATTAGTGGGATTTTGTCCAGCAGTCGCAACAAGACAGTGTTAACCACTTGCCACTTCCCACCCTGACTTGCATTGTTTTTTCTTAACCTGCTTGACAGCTGTGGATGATTCCTAGCCAGAGAGAGGTGCCACTGCCAAAAAAGACCAAAGTCGTTTCTGTCTGGAAATCAGTTATCCTGAGAAAAGGAGGGTAAAATTCAGGCTGCTTTATTGAAATGGCAGTCTTCTCTGTGTTGTAATAAAGAAATGTAACAAAATAAGGCAGGGGTTGAAGTTGCTGAGAGTCTCTCCCGTTCCAGTGGATACTGTGAAACAAGCTAACAAAACATTCCAAATACAGACTGCAATTGAGCAAGTTTAAAATTAGCTTCTGAAGTTCTCAAATGTAGACACACCATTTTTGTTTCCACAGACGTTTATATTCACGGACTGGGAGGATCGAGAGCTACGTCTGAAAGCAGGTGAGCTGTGTAGCAGCACAGGTGCATACTGTCTGTTATAACTGAGTTTGGTTTCTTTCATACTTTCTGTAGAAGTCCTTATTTCATGCTGTACAAGCCGTTAGGGAAGTTAAGATGGAGAAAATTTCTCCCTACTTCACCTGGACAAGATGTCTGCAACTTGCAGATTACTGGGTTCACCTTTGCACTCCCTTTCTTCTTGTTAGTAAGCTTATGTGGTCCAAAGTTATAGTAGATACTTCCTTTGCATGCATCTCATGACACTATGTATACACCCTCACTTGTTTTTAATGCACTCACACAATTTTATGATCTCTGCAGCTTGCATACCAGATCGATAATCTGTGACCCCTGCCTGTCCTGCAGTTTATTCTCCATGTATGCACCATGTGCACCTCAGATGTGCAGTATTAGTGCCAAATGTGCACTTCTTTTGTAGTCTTTTCTGGACTACACATGCTTCTCAAACCTGAAAGGGCTGATGTTTTTCCTTCCAGGGGATCATATGATCAACACCAACTGTTCCGCTGTCCATACCCGGCAAGCCCTCTGCTGCAAGATGTCTGTGGAATATGATAAATTCCTGGAATCTGGGCAAAAGTAAGTGAAACACATTGTTCTGATTCACTTTGTTTCTTCCACTTCTGTGCTCACAGGAAACTGGAGTAACTGTCTCTGTTCCAGTAAGGAATCTGACATTAGCTAAAACATAGGAATGAATGCAGAAAAGGGAGCACAGCATGAAGCAGTGTTTACAAACAACCATCAAAGGTGGAAAGGTGCAAAAGATTATAATCTAGAGGGGTTGTTAATAGCAGCCTCTTTACACACTTTGCATCTGTGGGTGCTTTCAGCTTTCGTATTCTGTAATTTGGGACAATGAGAAATACTTTCTGCTCCCAAGTCTGAAAGACTAAGACTCAGTTCCAAACCTGTAACTCATGTCTTTGTCTCTAACCTCTTGCTTTTTTTTGTTTGAAGATGGTTTTGCCATGTGGATGATGACAACTATGTGAACCCTCGGACTCTCCTGCATCTCTTGTCTGCCTTCTCACACAGCCAGGATGTCTATGTGGGGCGACCGAGTCTGGACCATCCCATTGAAGCAGCTGACCATGTCCAAAGTGATGGATCAGTAAGCAAACTTTACAGTTTGTGTGAGAGACATTCTGACCTTCTAAATCTTTAAAACCCTGACAATTCATACGATTCTCCCAAGTGATGTAATCTGCAAGATATGAACCTGGTGATGATAATTTTCAAAGGCAGAGTGCTAGGTTAAATGAACCTTCACTCTGATGTTGTATGCGTATGTATGCACAATGGAGATTGTGTCCATTGGATGGCTGGCTGTTCCTTTACTCATGTATGTTATGATTTCCCTCACACTGAGCTTAGTAGGGCCTCCCCACCCTGACTCTTCCTTTAGTGGCTTTGAAAGCAGTGGTCCTTGTTTTAGGGCTTGGGAATTCAGGTGGGAGTTCAAGGGGGGTTTTATTTGTTTTGAGTGCAGTGTCATACACACTGTCATCATCTTAAACCAACCTCAGATGGGTGACAAAAGCTTTCTGGATACATGAAGCATTTCCAATATAAATGGTTACTAGGCTTCCAAGAACCGGAAGCAAACATATCTCAATCACAAGATAAATGTGCTAAGGAAAAAGTCCTGACCAGGTCACCCACACTGGCAGGTCTAAAGATGCAACATGTCCACCAGCTAGAAAGTCAGTTATATAAGGAAGACTCTGCACAACAAAATAGTCTTTTTGGACACGGAGCCAAGTGTATAATGGACCATTTTTGATATCCTCAGTAACACTGAGCTGGCTGTTGCCCTTGACTAAAATAAATGGGGCAGATGGAATTGGGTAGAAGTGGGACTATCATTTTCATTTCATGTGTGCCACCTCCATTATGCTAATTTGATGGTTCAGCTGCCATCTGTTTCAAGATAGCTGCTCTCAGATGAAACTGTCTGCACTTTCAGCAGCCTAAACAAATAGGGATTCATGTGTAGCCTTGTTCTGACTCAGGTGTAGTATGTGCTGCTCAATAGAACCTCAAGTTTCCTTCCCTGCCCAGTCAAATGGAAAAAGCTGATTATCAGTAACTACTATATGTTTTTTTTCTTTTCACTGTTCAGAAGACAACCGTGAAATTCTGGTTTGCCACAGGTGGAGCTGGGTTTTGTATCAGCCGAGGTCTTGCCCTGAAGATGAGTCCCTGGGCCAGGTAAGCACTGTTCCTAGCTGAACTCCATCAATACATGTTTGGGAGGCTTTAAAAAATACTWCTTCTTGTCTCCTATGTTCTCTGTCACAGCCTGGGCAATTTCATCAGTACTGCAGAAAGGGTGCGTCTTCCTGATGACTGCACGATTGGCTACATCATCGAAGGGCTGCTGGAGGTAAAGCTGCTGCACAGCCCTTTGTTCCATTCCCACCTGGAAAATCTGCAGAGACTACAAGGCGAGTCTGTGCTGCAGCAGGTAGGACTATGCCTCATGTCCTGTTCTTATAGTTACACCTCAGTCTGATCAGAAAGAATACTCTGCATAGACTTAGCACTGTTCAGCAAAGAAGGATATCTACATACTCAGAGCTGTGACGTGCTCAATTCCTTCATTTAGGTAAAAAGCATACTTTCACCCTAGCCAGCTAGCTCATATAGCTGTCCCCTCCTGTGGGGACACATTCTGCTACATGAAGCCTAAAAAGGGTGTTTCCCATATCCTTCTAAACCCTGACTTTTTGCAAGTAACAGTAGCAGCATGTGTAGAAGTTTGCTAAATAGTCTTCCTGATTTTGCCTAATAAAATTTCAGTCTTAATTTATGCTGTTCAAAAAGGCAGCTATTACAAGTACTTCTTCAATAGCTAAGATATAATTAAATGTTGGATCATTTTTAAGAATAATTCATCTGAATCTCAAGAAACTTAGTGTTGCTTCAGAAAAATCGTTTCTTAATTGCTGAGATACATTTTACCTCCCGGGCAGCAGATGGAGCCACGAGGCCATCCAGCAGCGTTGCCTGCATCACACTGCTTGTCACCCTAAGAAAACAGGAGTGTGGTTTTGACCCTGCATATCGTGTGGTTATACTTTTCTGGAAATTGTATTAGGCAGGAGAAATATGCACTTGGGGCCAAATTCCATCATGACGTCATCTTCATGTTAGTGAATTAGACTGTGGGCTGAATACTTTGTTTTACTGGTGATTACTGGCTCCATGAGATGATGACAGCAAACCCAAAACACAGGAAATGTACAATTAGAAAGAAAACATAAATCTTTCTTGTGTCTGACACTAGAAAATTCTTAATGCAGTGCTTGTGTGGAAGAACAGCACTGATTTGGGGCTCCAAAGATCTAAATTTTATTCCAGATTTGTCAYGACAATCCTTTGCATGCCATTTAACATGCAAATATTTCTATTTTCCCCCTTGCAAAAACATTGCTATTGCAGGCTTCAGGCAATGTCTAGTTAGGGTGAACATATGTTATTTAGTGAACGTAGAGACAGTAGCAGGATTAATGTCCTTACGAAGTTTACAGTTGGAACTCATCTTGTCCTTCAGGGCAATGCAACTTTCAGATCTTCTCTGTATTCTCCCACATTGTCCTTAGTGCCTTTCAGTGCTGACATTGCTTATGTCACAACTAACTGCTGTCCTCCAAATGTGATCCATGTTCAGGTTAGACAGCATCGACAGAGACTTTCGTGGTACCTGCTCTGTCCACTCTGGTTTTCCGCATTGCTGTTACAAATTCTGAATACTTACTTGTTTTTACAGGTAACCCTGAGTTATGGGGACCCTGAGAACAAACACAATGTGGTGAGTGTGGGAGGAGTGTTTGGCCTTCAGCAAGATCCAACCCGGTAAGTGTCCACTTCCAAAACAAGATCTGAGTGGTGATCTGAGAGGTGATCAGACCCACTAATGAGGTTATTTTCTTGTATCAGCTCTTGTCACTGTGTCAAAAGCAGGTAGACCCACCCTCTGCTCCATCAGACTGCTGCATATTCAATGCTAATATGTTCCATGTATGGAGAATTCCAATCTAATACTCTTTTTTTTTTTTTTTTAATAGATTTAAATCTGTCCATTGTCTGCTTTATCCGGACACTATTTGGTGCCCTGCTAAGAAGATGTCATAATTCTTGACCAGCCACTGACACCTGTGTCTTAGCTAGTTTGCATAAGGCAGGAATTTTTTTGTGGTTTTATTCTTTTTCTGGGAGACAACCAGTGGTGTCTACAAAGGAGGTGAATAGACTGTATTTTAAAAGGCAGTAAGGTGTGGTTTGTTCAGCTGCAGCCTGGGACATTCCAAGAAGAATCTTTGTTCTTTTGTCTAGTGGCTCTTCATAAGATGACCACAGTCCTGTGTGTATAAGTCACTTTACACTTTCTTATCTGATGTCACATGAATCTGTGCTTGGGCACATCTGAGACATGCAGTACTGAGAGTGAGACTGTTCCTGCTCCCTTGGTGGTTTTTAGAAGCCACTGTTTTGATGGTGGAGTGCTAGAGCAGACTGTAGACCCCAAGATGATAAAAGAGGGGAATTTTTCACTCATCTTTCTTGGGAACGGAATTATTTAAGAACTTTTGTGGCCTGCCAGATTAAAACTTCAGTGGGCCAGAACCAGAAATCCTGGAATCACTATGGTAAACAAGGCTGAAAGCCTTTATCCTGGGAAAACCCTGTGTTGAGGGTAAGCTTACTCAGGACTGGATAAGTTGCTTACAATACACATCCATGTGTACCTCCTGTGGACGTAATTGTCAGACCTGCCTYAGGTGCCAACTGAGTTGCAGTGGTTGATGATTATGATTTATTCCCTTGATAGTTGATATTGAGGAGATAGTTGTCTGACAAGATTGTAATTGTTTCTCCCAGTTTGCCCTAGCTGGTCTCATGAGCCAGAGAAGCTTGTGCTGGCAAAACATGCCCTGTTTCTGAAGCTGTCTGAGGGGGGAAGAATGCTAGATAGTTGAAATGCACAGAGGAGGGGTTTGATGGTATCATCTGAGGACCTTTAACTGTATGACCACAGTCACTCCACCTTCTTCAGAGAATCTTTTAATTACCATAAAGTCGAGATCAATGTTTTTACTCCCTAATGCTTCAATATAGTTCATGCACTTACTAAAAGGAGACTACCCATACACACAAGCAGGAGTTCAGTGCTCTAGCAGTATCATTTGCTGCTGCTTTTTGAAGAAAATAAAACAGTTTTGAAAGTGGAAAGAATGGGGTTCCATATGTTTACTTTTCCGTTAGCCCAGCCTTTGGCCATGTGCAAACCCCTACCTGACCTGAAGAATACCATAAAAAAGTAACTTTGCAAAACCACTGTTTACTCTTACAAACTCTAAAAAAACACCTTGCTGGTTTAGTGATAAGAGAGTGTGAGGCCAAATTAAGAGAATAATAKAATGCCATTGTATGATCTGGAACTGTAATTACTGGCTTGATTGTGGACCTAGCAGAAATTTCAGGTTCTAAACAGCTGTGCTCAGCTGTACTGTGGGCTTCAGCTAGTTACTTAAATTCTTGGTACAAATGCCTGTAGTGTATTCAAGTATGCCACTTAGCACAGGTGTCAGCCTCCTGAAGTGTACTGTGTTTCCTGCATTCTGTTTTTTAACACAAACCTTTCAGCATTTACCTTGGTACATTGTCCTCTTTGCATGATTTTAAGTAGTTCCACTGAAGAGCAAACAAGCAGACTTACTTGTTACAATACTGCAGCTCATTCTTGTATTTCTGCTATCATACATCCTAAGGTGACTGTGAGGTATGGCAATAAGAATTGGCTGCAGGGAATTGGCACAAGGCCCAGCTCGCACACTGGCTGTTCCATAAAGGGCTGTCAGTGTTGCAGGTGTGCCTGTCACAGAAAACAAATGAGGATTTGTGGAATAGGAAGTTCTACCTCTATTAGATCTTCTGCTGACTAGAACTGAGGCATCCTGTGGTTCAATGATTTGTTATTAATAGCTCTGGAGATTCCAAGTATCCATATAATTTTTTAAAAAACACTTGTTAGGTTCTTGGTTTTAACCTCCTGTAGTAGAAAACCGATGAAGTAGAAACTTCATGAGCTCATGAGGTGATTTTGTCTTCAAGCACTGATTCTGAGTTCTTCTGTTGGAACTTTTCTTCCCCTTCTACAGGAAGCAGTCTCTTGTAAGGTGGCACAGACAGCATGGATTGGGCAGCAATTATGGCAAACTGCAGTTAAAAAATTACAACACAATATACTGATGGCAGCAAAACTAAGCGGTAGAAGTTCACAATGTGGTCACTGGTCACACTTGGTGTGCCAAAGAGGCAGTGCCCTCAAAGCTGGGAGGTTGTTTATGGAACTTAAAAAGGACYGTATTCTCCTGCAGGGCAATGGGAAACTGTTCAGCATGTTCAGGCTCACTCCAAGGTTTCTTATGTTGAGAATAGAGTAAGCTGCATGGATCTATCAGGATGCAGCTTTTTAATCAAACTACCTTTTCATACATAAAGTGATTCTATAAAATAAATATTTAATTATGTTGAAGGCTGTGTTTTGTCATGTTTCTTCACATGTGCCTTATATAAAAAGTGRACCATAAACGCTCTAATCCAGAAGACTACATCCTACTGTCCAGTTCATGTGATGCCAATGGCCAAAAAGCAAGTGAGCTCGATGACGTGGGTGTGCAGAAGAACAAATATGGATAAGAATCCTTGCAGATGCTGATTAACAAAGTCAAAGAATTGAGATAATGAGGATGTTAAATGTCATTTTTATTAGCAACTTCGAGGAGGCAGAGTTGGCATGTCTTTTTAATCAGCTCAAAAAAAGCCTGGTTTTCTGTGTTCGCTTAAATCATACTTCAGTGAAGAGTGAGAGCCAGGAAACTTGTGTGCCTGTCTCTTGCTGGATGAACCTGGAGACGACTTCTGTGAGATACGGGAAGCGTCCGGACAGATCGCGCTGCTCGCCCGGCCCCACCGGGCCCCGCCTCGGCCTCGGGCCCGCCCCGGCCACAGTCCGAGCGGAACATGGAGCGGCAGCTCGGCTTCCGCGGCCGGCGGGTCCTGGTGACCGGAGCCGGCAAAGGTGAGCGCAGGCGGAGGGCCGGGCGGGCGGGGGTCGGGCCGGGGCGCGTCTGACGCCGTCTCCCCGCAGGGATCGGTCGCGCCGTGGCCGCGGCGTTGAGCGGGGCCGGGGCCCGCGTCACCGCGCTCAGCCGAACGGCGGCAGATCTGGAGAGCCTCARGCGGGAGGTACCGCAGCCCCGCGCTCTTCCCCCCCAGCCCTCGAGCCCCCCGTCCCCGATAATCCCGCACCGAGCCCCCGGGCTCCCTCCCCGCCTCCCACCCACGGCGGCCGCCCTCGCCGCAGTGCCCGGGCATCGAGCCCCTGTGCCTGGACCTGGCCGACTGGGACGCTGTGGAGGCGGCGCTGGGCGCGGCGGGGCCCTTCGAGCTGCTGGTGAACAACGCGGCGGTGGCGGAGCTGCAGCCGTTCCTGGAGGTGACGCGCTCGGCGCTGCAGCGGTGAGTGCCCCTCCCCGGCTCCGCACGGGCGGCTCCGCACGGAGCTCTGGGCTCTGCTCTGGGCTCTGCTCTGGGCTCTGCTCTGGGCTCTGCTCTGGGCTCTGCTCTGGGCTCTGCTCTGGGCTCTGCTCTGCCAGCCAGGGCGGCACAAAGCTGGCAACGGCAAAAACGGCAACAGAGCTTTCCAGAAAAGGATGTCATTAGAGGGGAAGCAGCTGATGTGAACAAAGACAGCAGATGGTTCATAGACACCAGACAGGCTGACCGGACACTTTCAGCAATGCCCGGTGTTGGTCCATTGTTACTGCTTATGTCCTTTTTCTTTACTGTTTTTTCATTCTTTACATCATCACCTTTCACCCATTAAACAACAAAAGGAAACCAAGCACTGGCTCTTACATCCATTTCTAAGTTGCCAGAACCTGCAGTGTCACCTCCAGAGTGGTGGGGTGCACCTGCCATCCTACTGGCATGGGAGGAAGAGTGCCTTTGCTGCTCGTCAAGGTCAAAGTTTCCAGACTAGTTCCACCTTGGTTAAACTGAAAGGTCGTTGTCGCTAAGACAATTCAGAAATAGAAAAGACAAAGCCAGGTAAGGAAACATAAAACAGTCACGGTGGGGAATTAAATTTGCTTACTATAACACAACAACCTTTTTATCTGAGAAGTTCCATAGTTTGGTTGTGATTAAGCTTTAGGATACAGGCTATGTTGAGTCCATGTCCTGAGAAAATGGGTCATGCTTTGTCCCTATGTTAAAAATGGCTGCTGAGAATCTATAATAAAGGTTTGTGACTAGAACATTATATGTATGGATTCTACTAAGATCATTCTGCAGAACTGGCAGGTGGAAGCCTAAGGAAGCACAATGTGGCAAGCAGAACAAAAGCTGTCTCTACCCATCTTAGAGCAGCTTTGCTTTATAAAGCTGTGTGAAGGGTTTGCTTGACCAGTCATCTGCCCTGGCTGAGGCCCAGGGCTCACTGTTTAAACTTTTACAGATGAATTCCATTAGGCTGCTGAAGAGCAAAGTCCTGTGAGAGATGTGCCTGATGCATGCCTGCACCTTCCCACTAGGCTTGTAGCCAATGGACAGTTTGTTGCTGAGAGCACACCTGGCCATTCTGGCTCGCGCGACAATTTGGTCTTTCTGTTCATGTTCTAGAGCATCACCAGTGTTTCCAAGAGACCACCAGCACCTGTCCTCTGCTGCCTCCCAAAAGAGTTCTCTGGGCTGGGCTACAACTACTCTCTAACTGAAATTTGATTTATTTGTAGGTCTCTTGATGTGAATTTTGGGGCTGTGCTTCATGTTTCCCAGGTGAGGAGGAATTGTCACTGCAGCTGCCTCGATGCACAGCAGTGATTAAACTGTACAGAGCTGGGATGTGTCCACTGTGGGGGCTAAAGGGACTGCAGTCCAAAGTCAGCCTGACAACCTACCTGTTTAACCCCTTCACACTCTGGCCTTGACTCTCGTACAAGCAGGAGGCAGTGAGGACATGCCTCCTCCAGATGTTTTTGCTCTTTGGGCTACCATAATAGCCCAGCGAGATTCCTATGGAGTGAAATGACTTCTCTTATTAGGAATCTGGCATTCCTTTTTTTTTTTCCTCTCCTCCCCCCTCCCAGATAGTTGCTCGGCAGATGATTGCACAGGGGGTGCCAGGGGCTATTGTGAACGTCTCCAGCCAGGCGTCGCAGCGTGCGCTGAGAGATCATGCTGTTTACTGTAAGTATGTGCAGCTTTAGCAGTGCCCCTCTCATTTTCAACCACAATCACCAAGCTGGTGCCAGTTTTGGGCAGTGAAATACCCATGTGCTCCAGACTAGGTGTGATGCAGTTAAATAGCTCCGGTTCCTCCTTTCACTTAAAGGTTCCACAAAAAGTGCTTTGGATATGCTGAGCAAGGTAATGGCAATGGAACTGGGACCACACAAGGTACGAATCCGTGAGAGAAAAGTGCAAAAGCTGAGCCTGAGCATTTCCTCCCACAGCACTTGGGTTAGATTGTTTGTTGCTCCTGGTCCCAGATTAGGGTGAACACTGTGAATCCCACCGTCGTTATGACTGACATGGGGAGAATTAACTGGAGTGACCCTCAGAAATCTGCTGCCATGATTAATCGGATTCCTCTGGGAAAATTTGCAGGTCAGTGATGTAGGTCTGTTCCCAGGCTGGGCGCTTGTGTTTTTTCTCCAAGTCTTCCTTCTCACTGACATCACAGCCAGAAGTACTTTGCTGATATTTGGGCAAAGTCACCACTTACAGCATGCCTTCTGGCTGAGTTCTTGAAGCATTTGATCAGGACAGGGTGAGACTCAACCCTCCTCTCCCTTCTTCTACCGCGTCCTCATCTTGGGACAAGTGAAATGAACTTACTCTATTGATCATAAACCTGACTGGGTGTTTGCTGTGAACTAAGCACCATTTGATCACAAGGACACTTTGATGTCCAGCTGGTCTCAGCCACACTGTCCTGAACATTTAATCAAACACAGTTTGAAGGCAGAAACACTCTCCTGCTCTAATTACCTGTAGAGGGCAAAGCCAGGCATTTTTAGATGCTTGTTTTTCTGGCGTGATTTGAGGTGGGCATCAGATTTCTCTGTGATTGCAGAGGTGGATGATGTGGTGAACAGCATTCTCTTCCTGCTGAGTGACCAGAGTGCTATGACAACTGGCAGCTCCCTGATGGTTGATGGGGGCTTTCTTGTCTCCTAAGATGACACCTGCATTTCACACCTGGCTTCAATTTGCATACAAGTACTGCATAGATGTAAACTGGATAGAAAACAATGATACAGACCTCTTGCTGGAGGGGCAGAATGACTGAAGCCTTGTATTGGAAATGAGGCAGAAATTCACCTTTGCACGGCTGCTATATAATAAAGTTCACATACGCTGTAATGGAGAATGTTTATTGCACCAAATAAGGTTTTATCTTGTCACTCTACATGATGATTAGAAATTGGACCTTTCTTCCAACCCTGTTCCCCCCACAACCCTTCAGAAGCTCTCCCTGTTCCATCCAAATCCACAGAGTTCTGTCTGCATTTTCAGTGGGAAGGGAAAGAAGGTAGCAGACTCCTCATTGCTTCCTTTGCTGTCTTCAGTAGAAAAAAACAAAATAGAGGCAAGAACCCCAGCCCTGCTCTGCAGAGACTGGATTTTGGGGGGGAGGCCCTGCTAAAGACTGATGGGGGGGAGCAGCATCATGCTGTCCTAGGGTGTGCACACACAAAAAGGCAAATGCATTGATTGCACAGAGCTGTTTCACTCACAGAGTTTGGCTAGTACCCAGTAAAGCATCTAATCATTAGTTCTTCAGCTTCTCATTTACTTTGACCCCTTCAGTGCTGGTTATGATTTTTTAACAGTCTCAGGCACATTCTGCTAGAGCACCAGTTTGTTAACGGTTAGCCAGAGCCGGCTGGGCAAGGAGACCCTACCACCCTCCCAGCTATTCTTGTCTTTCAGCAGCATTGAAATCAGCTCCTTTCCCACTCCCACCAGGATCTTCACCACCTGTTTCACCTGCCAGTTGAAAACAGGTTGTTTCCAGGACAGGACAGATGTCTCAGCCCTTTCCGCTTGGAGTTCAGGAGAGCCAAAGCAGCCTGTTGCCCGAAAGAGCTACCTTGCCTTCCCCGCTGTACCTCCCCTGGGGACTTTACAGTCCCCAGCTGGTCTCCTGCCCCCACTGCCCCTTCACATCAACACTGACGTTAAATCAAAGAGACATTTAAAAAACACTGACTTCGTACATGATGAAGGGCCCTACGCATCCCAGCCCCCTTCAGAAACACCCAGCTTAATATGCAATTGTCAGAGGATGACAGCATGCTGAGCCAACTCCTAGGCCACAGCCCTCAAAACATGGTACACTTTTTGCCAGGCTTCTTCACAGGCGGTGGGCAGAGCACAGCCCGGATGGCTTCATCAAACACGGTCTTCAAGCCCCGCTGTGTCAGGGCAGAGCATTCGAGATACTTTACCGACCCTGGGGAAAGAGAGCTCCAGCTCAAGCACTCCAGTTCTACCACCATACACTGTCCCTCACCCACTCACAAAGTCCAGTGCCAATGAGATCTGCCAGCGTAAGAGACTCACCGATCTCCCGAGCCATAGCCAAACCTTGGGGATAGGTGATGGGGGCCAGTTTCTTATCGCGTAACCTCTCGATGGTGTCCTTATCATCCCTCAAGTCCAGCTTGGTGCCCACCAGGATAATAGGTGTATTTGGGCAATGGTGTCGGACCTCAGGGTACCACTGAAACAGAAGCATAGTAAGAAAAGTAGTTCTATGGGTGGCCAAGACCACGAGGATACATTCCTACTGTTAGGAGTGAGAGGTTTATGACTGACATGGTGGTAACACCCCAACAGGGTACTGATGTGTACAGTTTTGAATATGCTTTACAAGAAGAGACTGGTGCAGGTGTAATAACGAAGGTACCAAGACACAGAACCATGACACACATTGCCAGCCAACACTGCACACAGTGCTTCCCTTAACTGCATTTTAGCTTCTAGGACATCCCTTATCTTAAAATGCAGATTCAAAAAGGCAATAACTTAGCCAAAGAAATAATGAATAAAAAGCAGGCCACACCTAAAACCTGCAGACTATGATCTTCCCTCACCAAAACATTACTGCTTGAAGTTTTGGCCTTGTAAGTGTGGTGCTGGGTGGGGCAGGGAGTCTCACTGGTTCTTCCCTTCTACTATTTTACCCAGGAGAAGAATACTTTACCTTAGCTCTGACATTCTCAAAGGAGGCTGGACTCACAAGGGAGAAGCAGATCAAGAAAACATCCTGTGCAGAAACAAGAAGGTCAGATGTGCAGAAAGTAACAGCTAAAGAGAGTGGAGAGAGAGAGCCTGAGAAAGGACAACCTCCTGCCACAAGCAAGGACTGCTGTGGCTTTAAGAAATTCTTCTCCATTGAGGGTGTTGAACTAAGAGAAGGAAGGAATGAACCTTGAGTATCAAGACGATTACATCTTCTTTCACAATGCTGGGCTCTGCACATTAGGAGCCTGAGGCCTCAAACATCTTAACAGCTAAGGGCTTCACCAGCAGCACAACTGCTTAAGAACTGCTAAATCCAGAAACACTCCTAGTATAGCCCAAAGGGGAACTGTCCTGCCAAAGGAGAATGAGCTGGAACTGGAATGAGCCAGGGAAAGAGCTTTGCTGCACAGCAGCCCTACAGCATTCCTTTCACCTGAGCTGCTCTGGGGCACCCATAACTCTTCAAAGACCATTACAAAGCAGAGATTAGAATAGTACAATCTCTTAGTAGAATATCAGCTATGATATTCTTTAAAAAACAGCATTACTGGTGCACTGGCAGGAACTCAGACTTTTCTCAAAGGAAAGGAAATGCCTGTCCTTGGGAACCTCCCTGACTCTCAGAGGGAGCAGTTACAAGCCAGTCCAAGCCCAGCACTCACCGTCTGTGGATAGGAAAGAGGCCGCAGTCGGTCATAGTCCTCTTGTCCTGCTGTATCCCAGAGGCCCAGGTTCACTGGCTTTCCATCTACCATCACATTTGCAGAATAGTTATCAAACCTGCCAAGGAGGAGACCCCATCAGTGACAATTTTGTGGTGATCTTCACATCTCTATAAGAAATTCAAAGAGGCAGTGAATCAGGAAAGGATACTGCAGCACAGTTCCAGTGGGGACAATCTGCCTTCCTCACACACACAGCCACAGCATCATCCTCACCTGTGAAGTTCACCGACTGATTTCATCAGCCACTTCCTCACCTACCAACCAACTTTCACACACACACATGCAAACAGATCAAAAAGCAACTGAAGCCCGAGGCTGTTACTCACACGGTGGGAATGTATTCTCCAGGAAAGGCATTTGTGGTGTAACTAATCAGCAAGCAGGTCTTTCCTACAGCTCTGCAGAGGGTTAAGAGWGACAAACATAAAAAAGGGTACAGTATTAGGCACTAGGGCAGTAAAACTCACCCTTTCCCCACCCAAAACACAAGGTTAGGTAAAAAGTTACCATGTGAGAAAACAATCTGTAGCAGACTGAATTCCCTTGTTGTCACGGAACCGGCCTGAACTCAAAACGTGCACCTTGCCTGAGCACTTAGTGACCCTGCTCTCTCCTACTACTTTTCCCTACCTATTCAGCCCTCAGCAAGACATCAGGCAAAATATAGTTGTTCCATGATCCAAGAGAGGGCACAAATTAGGGTTGTGTGTTGGGCTCAGTAGATGCATAGTAATTTAGCAAAATGGATAAACAGTGAGGTTAAAAAACATGCAACAATGCAGAACTCGGTGAGCTCCTCAGATACAGGAATTCAGTACCAATAAATACAAAGGGGAAAATATAAGTGTCTGTAAAAAAATGGACTCTAAAATTGACCACTGTCACTGTGGGAAAAGTTTAGTAAAGAAGGATGAAAATACCAGCACAGGACTTTGCTGAAGGTTGGTAGGATTGGTCAGCCCAGCAGTGGCAGCTGGCAGGGGCCTGGCCAGGCCTGGCTGGCAATAGCATAAGCACATAGTCTTTAACTATTCCTGTAGATGTCCAAATGGAACGCTTCGTTTTAAGAACAGAGGAGTACCAGAAGTGTAAGCAACCTCTTTATTACTTGAGAAAGTTGTGAACTGCAGACAAACTTCCAGAAAAAGATGGTGAGTGCCAAGGAAACTGGCTGTGAGGTGCCTGGGTGAAGCTGAATAGCTAGCAAAACTGGGTATTCCCTACTCAATTCTGCAACCAAACTGACATTAGGAAATATATCATAAGAGAGGAAGAGACTCCAAGTTGACAGTCCCCTGCCCGCACCAGGATGACAGAAAGCAAAGAGCGAACCACTATTACTTCTCCTTTGGATCAGGTCCCCTTGGTCAGAGAAGAGTGAAGTTTTGCAAGGAACCACTATGCTGACTGGTCCAACTTTTCCTCACGAACTTGACTTCTCTCCCACCAAACAGCAAAGCTAGTAATTCACCAAAAAAAAAAAAAAAAAAAGTATCTATGTGTTTCCAATTTCATTTAGTCTGCAGTATTCATTTGGTCTTAAAGCAAAACACAAGACAGCAAACCTTCAGCTAAAGTCCATTTGCAATATCCCATGTTCTCAGTGACTCCTCTCCCCTCTGCAGTAAGGCTGTGTGTTTAGGTGGCTGGCTTTCTCCTACTCCCTTCTTTAGCCCCCACAGGCTGGAATCTGGAAAGCCTCACCACAAATGTTTATTTGAGGGGGGGCATGCATGAGAAAGGGTAAGTCTAGTGCCTGCCTAAGACCAGTTCACATTTACATTTGAGTATCTCAGCTCTGTGCTTGCTGTGGTGACCAGAAAAGTAAACTGGAATTGTGAAGAAAAATATGTAGGATGAGCTAGGAAAATTACAAAGCACCGTAAAATTAGCGTACACCTGCATCTTCCAGGCAGATGTGTTCACAGAAAAAGGCATTTAAGAAGAGCCTAAAGAGTAAAAAGGGTGACTAGGAGCACACGGTGAAATCAGAAACAGCAACACATTTCACCTCAGAACCATCAACAAAAGGACATGAGACTTGATGTTCACAAGATTTTCGGGAGGACTGTCATGAATCAAGCACGTGCAAGGAAAAATAGCGAAATACCGCACCTACATAAAACAAGGCGAGAGACGTAAAACCCAAGAGAAGCCTGTCTGCTACCCAGGGAGCCCCCAAGTTCATGGAACAAGAGCGGGGCAGGCTCGCAAGGGCCGCGGCAAGGCCCTCATCTCATCTCATCTCATCTCATCTCATCTCATCTCATCTCATCTCATCTCATCTCATCTCATCTCATCTCATCTCATCTCATCTCCTGCCGGGACACGACGGCGCCTCGACCCCCCGGCCCCGCTGCCGCCGCCCCAGCAGAGGCAGGCCCGCGCTCTCCCCGCCGGAGCGAGCCCTCCCGCCGGCACAGCGAGCTCCCCGCCGGCACAGCGAGCTCCCCGCCGGCACAGCGAGCCCTCCCGCCGGCACAGCGAGCCCTCCCGCCGGCACAGCGTCTCTCCCGGGCCGCCGGCCAGGGCCAGCCCTCCCTCCCTCCCTGCTCGCCAGGGCGCCGCCGGGCCGGGCCCGTTGGGTGCGGCGCTGCGCTGCGCTGAGGGGCCGGGGCGCGGCCAGGGCGGCCCCGCCCGCACTCACCCGTCGCCCACCACCACACACTTGATCGCCTGCATCTGCCCGCGATGGCGGCCCCGCGACTGCGCCGCAGTGACCGCCCGCGGCCTGGGGCGGGGCCGAGCCGAGCCGAGCCGAGCCGAGCCGAGCGGAACGGAGCCGAGCCGAGCCGAGCCGAGCCGAGCCGAGCCGAGCCGAGCCGCGCCGCTCTAGTCTGATCCGCTTTAATCCGACCCGAAACGTTCTGATCCGATCCGAGTCGCTCTGAATCCCATCGAGCCGAG